TGGTAAACAGCATTTTTCACTCATTCATGGTCTTTGACCCCCAGAGCATACCCCAAGCCCCTGTTTCCACATCTCATCTACATTGTAGATTCTTAGATCAGGGATACCAGCCTCCTGTGTGCATGATGTACCAAGTATCTGGGTCTAGCAAGGATTTTAACCTGAAGCACTTCATTTAAATCTCTCAGTAAGCTTGCTGCTAGTTATATTTCATAAGCCTGTATGTGTGGGGGTGCAGAGCCATGTGACATAGCCCTGTTGATAACTCAATAGCCTCAATAACATGGCAATGTACCTCAAGATATCTGCAGGTTATGTGAAGCTATGTGACAAGATTAATTTATCTCAGGAGGGCAGAAGGAACAGGCAGAAAGTTGGAGACTTCTTCAGCATCTCCTTACATTAGCATCCTCACAGACCTATATTCTCTGTTTCAAGCTTCTTTTCCTTCAATTTTTCATCTCAATACCTACCTTAACTTCTGACTTTGTCTCTTGAGTTCTTTTGGATTTTGTTCACTGAATTATAAACTTTCCTCAATCATGAATATGATTGCACTGATTATATCCCATATCTCACCACTCCTTATATTTTTTTGGTTGAGAGCCTAGTCTTTTTTTAATGGCTGAGCCATCTCTCCATCCCTCCCCCACACACTCCATTAGAAGTTATAAATTTTTCTTGTCTGCTCCATGGTCATTTCACAGTTCCTGCCTTCCCCTCATCTATTGAACATAAACTCCATGAGGACAGAGGGCTTTGTCTATTAGGTTCACAGTTTGAATCGGCAGATCTAGCATATAGCAAAGTTAAGCAGGTTTTAGAAGAATAGATAAATACTCAATGGAGAGTTTGCCAGAAATCAATTTTCATGTCTGGCATGGTTGAATAATGAGTTTAGCTTTAAATTTTCATGTTAGGAAGAGAAAAGAAATGTAATGTTTACACTTGCCTTGCAAGCTCTTCTTTTTGTGAATAAAAAAAAAAAAGCGTGTGAATGCAGTTAAGATTTTTAAATGTGAGAAGTAATTTGTTTGGGATTCAACTCTGCTTAAGTCTCTAGTTTTGACCCTGACTACCAGAAATCCAGCCTTCTGCTAATTAGAGCTGAGGACTCTGAATCTCATCGTTTTAAATCCATGGTTATTTCTGGGGATTTGGATTGCAACATTGCAAGGGAGGTGACTTAAGGAGAGGTGTTAGGTTCTTGCTCTGCTTCACCTACAGGATAAGGACAATGTCTTTTGTATTGAAAGCGAGAAAGAAAAAAATTCCTATCTCCTCTGACACCTATTTCTCAGCACAGTAGAGAAACCCTTCTGGGTATAGCACTTCCTTAAGGATATAGTGCTGGAGTTTATCTCAACTTGAAGACTCTACAGTGGTAGGCAGCTTTGGAAAGATTTATCGTGGTCCTGGGATGAGGAATGGCCTGGCTCTCCAGTGACACTGCCTCCATAGCTGGTGAGGGTAAAGTATGGGATTTGCAGTTTACTTCTTGCAAAGGGTGTGGTCTGTATGACAGTCCCCCTGCTCTCCTCCTTTCCCAAATGATAGATGTTCCTGAAAGATGCCCAAAGCTGTGACAATTCCAAACTCATCCAACCATTGTAAACAGGTCCATGGGGTCTTCACAGACCATAGTGAATTCCAAAAAAGGCAAGACCTTCCTGAGTCAGGACAGGGCAGGGTAGGAACAGAAGCCATGGGATTCATCAAAGAGCAAGGGCTCCCGAAGAAACAGGCTCTGAGATGATGTTTGTAATAAGATATACTTCATTTCAAGGTACCTGGAATCTTCTCTGGAAGGAAACATGATTAAAGAATGAATACTGGTTTTCAAAGGTATGTAAAATGCAGGTTACTGTAGACTCCACTTGATGTAAAGTCAACGGGAAATGATTCTAAGTGGGATTGTAGCAGAAAGGGAACTAATTCAAAGAAAGAATATGAAAAGAGAAACTACAAGTAGTCATGATTGTTTGCAACTATGAAAGTTGTAAGAGAATAGTTAGCTTATG